ATTTCATAAATAAAACTGAATTTTTTCACAGGTTTATAACATAAAATAACAATACATTAACTAAATTAAAGACTTTTTTTATCTGAATCAATGTTGTTACTTGTAAAAGTGTGAGACGGGGCAAGAGCTATAGAGTACAACACTTCATTCAAAAAATTTTTTTAATGGATTTGCCCTGCTTTGAATCTGGGACAGTCCAGTCCAGGTTGAAGGGACTTCAATACCAAATAAAATACAACAATAATTGAGCTATCAACAGATATAGCATGGATGTGTTTGGGTTTAAACTGATACCTATGACCGAACTCATACCTCAATATAATCATATTGACAATCCACGTGTCCCTCTAGGTCCATATTCGTGAAGGTAAGAGAGATCCTGTCACGGTCACTGACACGAACAATCCACACACACTGAGCATCGTGATTGTAAGCATTAGGATAGTTTGGTGAGATTAAAATGCCTGACTCAGCGGTAAATGTACCTCCACAACCAGAGTCGGCTAAAAATTAACAAAAAAATAAATACAGTGAAACTTGTATTGAGTGACCCTGCAATGGAAACACTAAAAATGGCCACTTAATAAAACAGTCTATTAAGACAAAGCATGAGAAAAAGTCAAAATTCATTCATGATATTTTTCCTTTGCAATTGGGGAATTTTTCAAAGTCATTCTGGAACCATCATTTGTCAATTTCGGTAATATTTCCATCAAAATACCTAAAAATTCATTAACAATAAAAATATCAGTCTTAGAATCATATGTAGGTTAAGCATTTGTTTGTTACAGAAATTAAGATATAACTTATACTGGTGGACATTTTACTTAAAAGTCTGACTCGAACCCAGGACCTTTACAATTCAGATTTACAGATCTTCAATTCTGAGTAAAATCACAGACACTTTGGGCATTGATCAAACTGGTGACCCCCATCCCAAAACACCTATAAAATGGCATAAACCCGCTATATGTAAATATATATGTTAATCCAATAAAACACACCATTGAAAAATTCTTTGAGCAAGTTAAAAAAAAAAATTCTTATTTCAACCAGTACACATGTAATGGAGGATTTAAAATACCTGAAATAGCAGCATATGTGATATGAAATCCACTTCCTGTGTTGACACTGGAATCTGAGTGGAATTTAACCCAGGCAGTAGGACCTGTGGTGGACAGAGGGGCTGGTGAAGTTGTGTTACAGTATTTCTTCAAAACCGGACTTGTATCAAGTCCACCATCACGAATCTGCAAATTCAATAATTTCTCAATATTAGATACATGCGTATGTATTTTTTTTGTCAGTTTTGTATGTTTTTCAAGATAAAAAATTGCAAATTTTAACACTTTTTTGGTCATCTTTAGGCAGTCCATCAACCTACCTGTATTTCCTGGATAGCTAACCAGTAATTACCTATTTCTACACAAGTGACCATCTACTAATCTAACATGATTTCATAATCAGTAGAGACAAATGCCCATAAGACTCGAAGCCCAAGGTTTATTGTCACAGAATAAATGAACCTCATTTTTGTGAAAAATGACCCAAAATTGAAGCATTATGGGCCTTTAATAGCGACCTCCAATTATGCAGGTCATGATTTAGTAAAAATTTATGCCAAGAGATAAAAGGCCTTTGATAGTGACCGCCAATTACATGTCTTAAGATTCAAGTGAATATCTTAAGTAGTTTTTAAGATTGATCTTGCATGCAAAACTTTAACAATTTTTTTTTCAAGTTTACAAAGGGTAATAATTCTGTCAAAACCAATGATAGAATTTTTTCGCCTTGAATAGTGACCTCCTTAACCAAAGTTTAAATTTAACCAAAGTGCTATGCAAACACAGATACCCATCCCTGGGTAAGTAAGACACTTTTCAACTTTTCTGGAATAGTTGAGGTAAAAATAATCACCTCAAGATAGTCATAGTTGCAGTCAGGATGAACCTCAAGATCTAATGTAGCAAATGTAAACATAATGTTGTTGCCTGGCGACACACTTATTGTCCAAACACAGTCACGGTCATGTGGGTAGTTGCCAGGGTAACCAGGACTGGAAAATTCACCATGATCTGTCCCTTCAAGGTTACCTCCACATACTGAAAAACAATTAAAAATGTATAAATAACCCTTAATAGGAGAGAAAAAATACAATTTAATTAGAGGGTTGACTGCAAAACTGCAGTAACTTATATAAAATTAAGAAGAACTTACAACCATATTGCAGTTAACTCTCAAATTACGCTCTTCATTCAATATGTAATAATAAAATGCAATACATCTGTTCATTAACAGAAATATGCTGAAATGTCCTGAACTTTAAAACTTTGACCTTGATATTCAACATGACATTAGGGATAAAGGTCAAATTGGTGAGAGTAAAAATTTATCTTGTCTCAAGAGGTATGTTTTATTCAAGTGCAAGTATAATGACTCTAGCCTGAAGTCAAAGTCCATGTGACCTTGACCTTTGACCCAGTGACCTTTAAATCAATAGGGGTCACCTACTTATCATGACCAACCTCCAAACCAAATATGAAGACTGTGGGTAAAAGGAATCCTAAATTATTGAGCGGACAAGCTTTTTTTACTCAAAGCCCCTGTGACCTTGACCTTTGACCCAGTGTCTTCAAAATCAATAAGGGTCATCTACTAATCATAACTAAACTCCATGCCAATTATGAAGACTGTGAGTCAAAGGTTTCTTAAGTTATAGGGTTGACAAACTTTTTGAAGTCAAAGTCCCTGTGACCTTGACCTTTGACCCAGTGACCTCAAAATCAATAGGGGTCTTCTAATTGTCATGACTAACCTCCATGCCAAATATGAAGACTGTGGGTCAAAGGAATCTTAAGATATTGGGCGGACAAGCTTTTTATAGTCTAGCCCTTGTGACCTTGACCTTTGATCAAGTGACCTCAAAATCAAGAGGGGTCTTCTACTACTCATGACTAACCTCCATGCCAAGTATGAAGACTGTGGGTAAAAGGAATTTTAAGTTATTGGGCGGACAAGGAAAAACCGACGGACAGCCAGACGTCTGGACAGCCGGACGTTTGGATGGACAAGCTGATTCCAGTATACCCCCCTTACAACTTCGTTGTGCGAGGGTATAAAGACCATTTACAGACTTACAAGACAAAGTCAATTTCTCTACTAACTGATAAATGCATGGGCATAAATTATTTCCAACATAATTTAAAGATTAAAACAGAATCTTACAGATAAAGCAACATTGATTCTGTTTAGTAATAATGAATGAAAAATGGTTTGAGAAACATACAAAAGTTCAGAAAAAAAATAATGACATTTTAAGATTTCAAGCAAGTCAATTATGTCAAAATTTTGCATTTTGCAGCAAAATTTAAATAAATCTGTATAAAAGATTTATAATAATGCTATGCCTGAGTAAACCTGTCAGATTTTTGTAAGTTATCAGAAATCTGCCTTAATTTTTTGTATTTTATAAAACTTCAATTTTTCAAAAAAACGAAACATTTGTTGACTTCTCTGCAGAGGTTATAATGTAAATTTATGTTTTCCCATACTATACCTGGCAAAGCAGATGTCCATTGAACCGTGAAACCGTCACTTGCTACAGATACGTCCGACTTGAACCAGAAATACAACTGATGATGTGTACTGTTGATTGGCTGACCGTTGTTAGGGGGGTTGCTACCACAATATCTCCCGATAGCATACGAGGCTGCAGTCGGTCCATCGTTCATTTGAAGGAAATCATAGTCACAGTTTGGATGTGGTTCAATGTTGAATTGTGGGAAAGTAACCCTTATAATCTGGAGAGAAATATATCATACTTAGTTTATGCAGAATTTATTTTAGTTTGATTGTTTTGGAAGCTATAATTTTATAGACACATTCTCGAAATCGATTCCTGAAACCAAGCAGTACTGAGTAATGTCAGTGTAAATTTTCTTGCTCATAAAATAGTGCCAAGGGGGTTCGAACCCACACAGTTTGCGGTCTTTAGTTAACTAGTTTGACCATTAACCACTTGTCATGGTTGTGCTTTATAATTTATAACTTGTCAATGAAAACAATTAAAAATTAATACATGTACATGTACAAATAAATATAGTAGTTGATTGGTACAAATATCTAGGTGTCAAAATGGTAAATTGATCTTAAAGCCTGTAATATAGTGCTAGACAAAATAAAGTGATAGAGATTGAATACCATGCAAAAAGGGCAAATATGAGTTGTATTACTTTCAATGAATTATTTTAAGCATGTTAGTTGTTTATCAAGTCAAGAAAATTGGGCAATATGTGAAATTATTTGTAATAAAAGTAGCAAAATGTAAACAAAGTAGCATTTTTGACTTCAATACAAAATACTAAATCACTATAATTGTACTAATTGCCAAAAGGCTCCAGAAGCATAAGATGGTTCAGGTTAACAGCTACTTAGTAACTTTCTGGAAACTATAACAGGACACAAAATTAAAAAGTTTTGAGAAATAAAATAAAAACATTTCTAGGGCAAAATGGGCCTTAAAGTGATTTTTTTCCTTTTAAGACATTGTTTTATAAGTCTGTTGACATACTACATACCAGTATGTATTAATTGCAGTATTTTTAGCATAAAGTTCATATTTATGAGTAATTATAGGGATGGCTTTCCTTGCAAGCCATTGCCTTGCAAGCCATTGACTCCATAGGAGCTAGACTATTTCTACAGTTTTGTACATAGGTGTTAATGCAACTGCCTCATGCTGAGGAAAATAACATAACTACCTCCAGCTTTGAAACGTTGTTTTCTTTCTCCTGACAATAGTTGGGCAAATAACATAACTACCTCCAGCTATGAAACAATGTTTTTCTATCGCCTGACAAAAACTATTAAAGATCATTTTTCATTAGATTAAATTACAGAAAATAACAGAAAAACATTTTTCTTTTTTTCATTTTTCATTTCTCATATGTATGTGTACTTAACTTAAAGGAACTCCACTGAGTTTTTTTTGACATGACAGGACTAGAAATATTTTCTCGAGATTAAAGTTCCATCTGATAAAGGTCTAGACTTAGAACTTGTGTACAAAATTCCACGTCACTGGCTTACTCATTTTTTCAAGAATAACTATTGTTATAATTCTTTTTGTTCAAAATCACCAAAAATTAAAAAGCGTTGCAATGCCTTGCACTCAAAGCGGGATGAGAATAGAATAAAATACGATTTTTAATGTACTTTAAAGTGTTTCACTCAATTATCCTTTGCATATCTTTCTATTTTAAGTGCTGAAGCTTATCTATATGAAAAATCAGAAAAGATCTATGTTTCAAGCTTTGGACCTCAGTGGAGTTCCTTTATGCAAGTGTTTTCACGATTTTCAAACATTTTGACCTTTAGTCTGTATTCTATTCATGCCACATGAGCAAACAAAGATATGTCCTGCAATGTATGTTGACATTTACATGCAATCTGATGTTAGCTATTTTGTCAGTCCTTACTTTGAAATTTTCTGTAAAAACTGGTTTTATCCAGATTTTAAGGTGAACAAGTCCAAAACTGGTTTTGTCCAGATAGAAAGTTGAACAAGTCATAAAACTGGTTTTATCCAGATTTAAAGGTGAACAAGTCCAAAACTGGTTTTGTCCAGATTGAAAGATGAACAAGTCATAAAACTGGTTTTATCCAGATTTAAAGATGAACAAGTCCAAAAACTGATATTGTCCAGATTGAAAGATGAACAAGTCCAAAAACTGATATTTTCCAGATTGAAAGATCAACAAGTCCAAAAACTGATATTTTCCAGATTAAAAGATGAACAAGTCCAAAAACTGGTGTTGTCCAGATTGAAAGATGGACAAGACCAAAAACTGGTTTTGTCCACATTGATAGATGATCTAGTCCAAAAAACTGGTTTTGTCTAGATTGAAAAATGAAAAAGTCCAAAAACTGATATTGTCCAGATTAAAAGATGAACAAGTCTATTTAAAATAATAGGCATGGTAAGACTTAAAATTGAGGATCTACATGTAATCATTCACAATAATCTTACCTTTCCATAGGTTGTTGTAATTCTCCATGCACAACTGACATCATGTGGATATTGGGTACCAGAAACCATTGGGTACCGGAATGACCCAGATTCACCATTCAACGTGCCTCCACATGCTGTAAATATTACACACAAACACTTTATTAAAGGGACTCCACTTCATTTATTATAATGCAAAATGAGCAAAAAATGAAAAGCATTAATTTTCAACATATTTATCTCAAATCAGACTGAAAACTGTAGTAAAAATCCATTTTTATTTTATTTCTGAATATACAAAATGTATTTCTTCATTATCTTTTTTTATATTTTTTGTTTTAAGTGACTCCAGTTGATCTACGTCAGAATTTCAAAATTTCATTTTTTAGGCTTTTAGACCTCAGCTGAACTTCTTTTTTAATTCTTACAATGCTGGGAAACAAAGTATAAATCTGTACCACCATATTAACCATTAAAATGCTGTAACTAAAAGTGACAAGTATAAACCACCTCTCCTCGACTATCTTGTAAATACCAATTTTTCTGCAAGTGACTGACTACTAACCTAAAGTGTAGTCAGTCACTTTCATGAAACCAAAAATGTGTTAAAATGGGCTTTAAAAAGGCTAGATAAACAAACCAGCAATTCAACCTCAGGTGCCCTTCTATTGATTATTTCAATCTTGGACTGAGGTTGAAATAACAAAACAAAGAGCACCTGAGGCTGAAATTATGAAGAAGCACTTAGGTTGCGATAATAAAAGGAAGAACACATGAGGATGAAATAATGGAGGAGCACCTGAAGCTGAAATAATGAAGCAGCAACTAGGTTGCCATAATGAACGGAAGAGCACATGAGGATGATATAATGAAAGAGCACCTGAGGGTGAAATTATGAAAGGAAGAGCACATGAGGAAATAATGCAGGAGCAGGTCCTTAGGTTGACATTATAATGAAAGGGAGAGCACATGAGGATGAAATAATGGAGGAGCACCTGAGGTTGACACAATAGAGGAGCATCTGACTGTGAAATAATGGAGGAGCACCTGAGGCTAAAATAATAATGAAGCAGCACCTTGGTTACCATAATGAAAGGAAGAGCACATGAGGATGAAATAATGGAGGAGCACCCGAGGGTGAAATTATGAAAGGAAGAGCACATAAGGATTAATAATGGTGGAGCACCTGAGGTTGAAATAATGAAAAGAGAAATACATGAGGTCTTTTTTGTACGAGTACCAATATTTTTGTCATTCTTTTAATAGAGACAGAAGAAAATATATTTTGCCCATGTTGACAACTACTTACTTTGCTGTTCAATCTCACAGTTGCTGCCTGTGTAAGAATCAGTACACTGACAAACATAGCCATTCACTCGGTCAGTACAGGAGCCTCCGTTCTGACAAGGATTTGACGCACATTCATTAAAATCTGTCTGGCAATTTTGATCAGTATACCCTGGTTGACACACACATCTATAGCTATTATCATTGACATTCTGTGTATAAAAGTAAAAACTTGAAAGCACATAGAGCAACCTCATTTCTAAGGCAAATTTTCTTGATACATTTAGTTTGTCAGATTTTATAAGCTTTACACATCATATGTAACCTATCTTTGCAAAAATGCCAGCACAAAACTATCTTTCAATGACTTTTTGATTATGTCAACAAACCTAAAAGATCCCCTGTAAAAATCCACTTTCTTTTCATGACCATGTGATGGCATCTTTTAACCTTTAGCCTACTGGAAAAACTGGATAAGATCAGCCCCCACATCACCACCTTCTGATCACAATTTGTACTGTTTGCTATTCTGTCAGTACATTTTTTGAAATGTCCCTTAATAATTATAAATGGTTATGTCAAATTTGAAAAGATGGTCAAGTCCGTTTAATATATTTAGTGCAGTAAGGGTTTAAAAAAATTCTGGCACCATGGCTATCATCATTTGAACTCCATGATAAAATCTGCATACCTGACACGCTGCTCCATTCATACAAGGGGTGCTACCACATGGTCCAGTAACAGGCCCCTGTGCCACACAACCTGATGACCCAATACCATTACCAACATAACCTGGGGCACATGTGCATGTTCTACCTTCAAAACCTTAAATAATAATGCCAATTTTTCAGAAACAATACAAAATTATAACCATTTTATTCAATAAGTTGACTCTTTTCCTTCCATAAACAAAAAAAATATTTCATAAAATTGATAGGAAAGTGGTAAAAAGTATATATAGTTATCAGGAAAATATCATAAAACTATAAATACAAGTTATTTACAAACTTCCAAGAAGAAATAATGAATAAATGTTTAAAACTCATATTACAGTCAAACCTGTGCATACAGGCCACCCAAAAAAGAGACCATACATGGCCTTCATAGCAGGTGGTCTTTATTTGGAGTTTACTTTGTTTTATTTGTCATCAATGACAATTGTCAAAAAGTGGTGTTTATTTATAGGGTGGTCTTTATTCAGAGTTGGTCTTTAACACAGGTTTTACTGTATTATTATAGATGGTCACTTTAATATCTGTTTTTGTTCAGTTTACCTGGGCTCTCTGTACAGGCTGCCTGTGGGTGACATCCACCATTGTTGTTTTGACATACTCCGACCCAGTTACAAGACACACCATTTCCTTGATAACCTTGTTACAAAAATACAAAATTCAAAACATACATATCATAAGAAGATGAAAACAATAAGACAAGAGGGCCATGATGGCGGTCGCTCACCAGAAACAACTGCTTTCCAGTGTTGGAATGTCAATATATTCTAATATTAAATTTGAGCATAGAATGCATGTTTAAACAATAATTTGAAGAAATGCCATGACCTGGGGTATTTAAGCTTTAGCTTAAACGGGGCTAATCAAATTAATATGAGCAAACTTGATAAAAGACTACTTAAGAATGCTACAAAGTTTGGTGATCATCTATCAATTATTTCAGTAGGAAATGATGTTCAAAGGTTTTTTCTATTTTTCTATTTTTAGCTTTAGTGGCCCCTAAAAGGGGCTAATCAAATTAATATGAGCAAACTTGATAAAAGACTACCCAAGAATGCTACAGACAAAGTTTGGTGATCATCCATCAATTAGTTCTGTAGCTATAGCATTTAAATGAATATCAATTTTTAATTTTAGCGGCCCCTAAAAGGGGCCAATCAAATTAATTTGAGCAAACTTGATAAAAGACTACCCAAGAATGCTTCAGACAAAGCTTGGTGATCATCCATCCATTAGTTCTGTAGAAATAGACATTTAAAGGTACAGTTGACTCTCGGTAACTCGAAATCCAAGGGACTGGGCATTTTACTTCGAGAGAAACGGAATTCGAATAATGTGGAACTACCGCCATTACGTTGACATTCGTACATGTATATACATGTGCCTGATTGAATGTGTAAAGAAGTAGGTTGTTATTGTTGTTAGCGGCAATGCTGCAATATTTGACCATTGAAATGACGGTAAATAACTTACAACTACAAATTATAGACGAACAAAAATATATCATTCAAAATTTAATACATGTGTATTAACAGTGAAACATAAACTCACAATTATATTTGATTTAATTGATTATCGGACGAAAATGAAATTAGCAACTATCATGAACCGGAAGTACAAATTAATGTATGCAATATGACGGGACATTAATTATACAAATGTTATTTACGTTGATAACACACATCAATACCTAGGATGTTATTTGACTACCACCCGTCAGACTGGCACGAGTCAACTTTCTTAAAGCAATGTAATTACATTTTAATTTAGTTATCTAACTGTTAAAACCAATTAAGTCCTGAAACGGATTAAAGCCACTTTTACGACGTGTTAATAATACATGATGACCGGCAATTAAAAATTACTATGAAACGTGTAAATCACGAGTGACAACATCTCACCTTGATGTCGCCGTCCTTTGATCAGTCGGCTGTTTTCACACTTCGACTAATTGAGATGAAAATATGTTGTACTTTAACTGACGGGACCAAATTTTCTTTTCGACTAAACAGGAGTCTCGGTAAGTCAAAATTTGACCTAAGCGGAGTTAAAATACAAAGATAAAGAAGGAAATTTGACGGGACTTTAGAAATTTTTCGACTAAGGCGGAATTTTGAGTAAAGCGATTTTGACTTATTGAGAGTCAACTGTATTTCTATTTTTAGCTTTACCGGCCCCTAAAAGGGGCTAATCATATGAATATGAGCAAACTTGATAAAAGACTATGCAAGAATGCTACAGACAAAGTTTGGTGATCTTCCATCAATTAGTTCTGTAGAAATAGACAGTTAAAGGTATTTCTATTTTTAGATTTGCGGCCCCTAAAAGGGACCAATCAAAATAAAATAAATAAACTTGATAAAAGACTACGTAAGAATGCTACAGACAAAGTTTGGTGATCATCCATCAATTAGTTCTGTAGAAATAGACATTTAAAGGTATTTCTATTTTTAGCTTTTGCGGCCCCTAAAAGGGGCCAATCAAATTAATATGAGCAAACTTGATAAACACTACCCGAGAATGCTACTGACAAAGTTTGGAGATCATCTATCATTAGTTCTGTAGGAGAAACATGTTTAAAGGTTTTTCTATTTTTAGCCCTAGAGACCCCTAAAAGGGGCCAATCAAAAATAATATTAGCAAACTTGATAAAAGACTACCCAAGAGTGCTACAGACAAAGTTTGGTGATCATCCATCCATTAGTTCTCTAGAAATAGACATTTAACAGTATTTCTATTTTTAGCTTTAGCGGCCCCTAAAAGGGGCCAATCAAATTATTATGAGCAAACTTGATAAAAGACTACCCAAGAAAGCTACAGACAAAGTTTAGTGACCATCCATCAATTAGTTCTCTAGAAATAGACGTTTAACAGTTTTTCTATTTTTAGCTTTAGCGGCCCCTAAAAGGGGCCAATCAAATTAATATGAGCAAACTTGATAAAACACTACCCAAGAATGCTACAGACAAAGTTTGGTGATCATCCATCAATTAGTTCTGTAGGAGAACATGTTTAAAGGTTTTCTATTTTTAGCCCTAGAGACCCCTAAAAGGGGCCAGTAATAATATTAACAAACTTGATAAAAGACTACCTAAGAATGCTACAGACAAAGTTTGGTGATCATCCATCCATTAGTTCTCTAGAAATAGACATTTAACAGTTTTTCTAGTTTAAGCTTTAGCGGCCCCTAAAAGGGGCCAATCAAATTAATATGAGCAAATTTGATAAAACACTACCCAAGAATGCTACAGACAAAGTTTGGTAATCATCCATCAATTAGTTCTGTAGAAGAAGATGTTTAAAGGTTTTTCTATTTTTAGCTTTAGCGGCCCCTAAAAGGGGCCAATCAAAATATATTTACAAATTTGATAAAAGACTACCTAAGAATGCTACAGACAAAGTTTGGTGATCATCCATCAATTAGTTCTGTAGAAATAGACGTTTAAAGGTTTTTTCTATTTTTAGCTTCTGCCGCCCCTAAAAGGGGCCAATCAAATTTATATGAGCAAACTTGATAAAAGACTACCCAAGAATGCTACAGACAAAGTTTGGTGATCATCCATCCATTAGTTCTGTAGAAGAAGATGTTTAAAGGTTTTTCTATTTTTAGCCCTAGAGACCCCCAAAAGGGGCCAATCAAATTAATATGAGCAAACTTGATAAAAGACTACCGACAAAGTTTGGTGATCGTCCAATCATTAGTTCTGTAGAAGAAGATGTTTAAAGGTTTTTCTATTTTTAGCTCTGCTGGCCCCTTCAAGGGGCCAATTGGAATGACATGAGCAAATTCAAGTGTGACTGTCACAAGGATGCTACAGACCAAATTTGAAGTAAATCTGTCCTGTAGTTTCAGAGAAGAAGACCATTGTTGACGCATGACGACAGACGACGGACGATGGACGCCGGAGCATCCCCCTTTGATACTAATAGCTCACGCTGAGCCTTCGGCTCTGGTGAGCTAATAATAGAGAAAATGCTCATGTCTTCTTTTGTTATTCCTGATTGATAATGAATATTTGTGCATTTGTATTATCATAGTTAGGTAAATAATACACATACAGAGAAGGTAAAACTTAACCCCAAACCTCCTGAATTTGTGAAATAAACCTGTCCTGCTTTGAATTTGGTACAGTCCATTATAAATCTAGGGTATTTAAAATACCAACAGTATAGAGTCTGGTCAGACTACATAGATGTGCAGGCTAGTCTGCCTTCATGATGGTGGCAAAATCTATAGTTTTGGTTTAAGCAAGCTTTCTAGGGTTGTAAAATCAATGGGTGAGTAAAGTGAGAAAAAGTGTGAACATTTTAAAAAGTGACAGATGACACATGTTAAGCTAAATAACTTTGGTGAACAACAAGGGGCGCAAGTTCCATGGAACTCTTTATTATGTCACCTTCCTGTCAATCAGCAACACATAATTATCCTCCAGAACATGGACTGATTACGAGTGTAGGACAAAAGCCCTCCCGGACAAAAGTCTCCAATCAAAAAGTGACAAGGCGAACAAAAGCCCTCCCGTGAAATGACAAGGCGGACAAAAGCCCTCCTGTGAAAATGACAGGGCGGACAAAAGCCCTCCCGTTAAAATGACTTGGCGGACAAAAGCCCTCCCACAAAAATAATAGGTCGGACAAAAGCCCTCCCGCAGCAAATACATATATGTACGTTGAAAAGTTTATATTATCTTTTCAATGCACTCAACATATCAAAATTGTTATCATGAATATTTTTGTTTTCCATTGGTATAAGCATGTTTATACGAGCTTGAGCACATTCCTGACAGGCATCAATTTCTTTTAAAAGTGACTTTGTTTTTAACGACATTAGTGTAAAAAGTTTCCTCGTTAAACTTTTCTGAAGGAAGGTATATTCAGAATAAAAGGTGGTTCTAGCTCATACACAAACTTAGGCCAATTGAAAACAACAAGAAATATAAGTAACAATTTTAATATGTTTAGTGCATTGATAAACACTCAGGTTTTTTTTTGTTTGTTTTGGGTTTTACGTCACATCGACACAGTATAGGTCATATCGCGACGTTCCAGCTTTACTGGTGGAGGCAGACCTCAGGTGCCCTTCCGTGCATTCTTTCAGGCACAAACGGGCACCTGATTAGAACCACCGACGTTCCGTAAGCTAGAAACACTCAGGTATTAAACATACATATTTATTTTTGTTACAGGAGGGTTTTGTCCGCCTTGTTAATTTCACAGGAGGACTTTTTTTTCCGCCCAGTCATTTTCATGGGAGGGCTTTTGTCCGCCCTGTTATTTTCAAGGGAGGGCTTTTGTCCGCCTTGTACTTTTTTTGACGGGAGGTCTTTTGTCCGGGAGGGCTTTTGTCCGTTTCCCACAGATAACAATCAATGCTTGGAGGAATTGTTTAAATTTTATAAACAAGTACTGTGTTTGAATTTCTTAATGTTGATATTTTATATTCACTTAGAGACGAATATCCGAAATTCAATCTCGTATATCGTGAATCGAGATCAGGGTCAAAATTTGGGATATAACATGAATGATGTAAAGCCAGGTCAATCTTTATATCCATGCAGTCAACCCCGACTCTATACTGCTAGCTGCATGACGTCCGCATTCCTGACAAAAATAACATCTTAATATTAAATCAAATAGACCAACATATATATACATGAAAATTTGTCAATGACAAAGTCATACCTGCAGGACAGGGTCCACAGGTTCGAGACCCGGGTGTGTTTGTACACTGAACCATAGGAGCCATGGAACATCCTCCATTGTTTACGGCACATTCATTTATGTCTGTACAGACAAACCCATTACCACTGTAACCTGAAAGAGATTTTATCCCCTTTAAACATAATTTTCACTGTACAGGTACGTAACCTTTATGAGTAATGATATATTTTAAAGCTGCACTCCTCCAGAAGTGTCAAAATATTTCAAGAAAATCAAGCTTGAGAAAAATGTACTAAGATTTTAAGAAAAGAAAGGATTCAAGATACATGTATGTAATAGCTTAAATGGTATGCAGTATTTATCACCATATTTGTACTATGTGACTTACACAGGGTTATTTTTTGCATGTTTTGACCTTTTTTTAGATTATTAAATGGACTGTAAGTGCCATTTGCAATGTGTAAATTCCTTTCTTTGTTTACTTCAGAATATTTATCTTCTTAAAATCATTTACAAAGTTTTCATTAAAATAAACTTGAATCTGGAAGCATGCTCCTTTAATTTGCATGGAATTAAAAGATCATGTTAAAAGCAGAATTGATGCAGTGAAAAATGAAAATGCTGATTAAGTTGTGTAAAACTATGAAAAATTCTTTCCATTTTGCGAATGATAAAAGGCTAACAGAAAGTTTAAAACAAGCTTCTAGATTACAATCACTTAGACTATACATACATTGCTATTTTGAAAACAAAACAGCATGCTGAAAAAGTAATTAGATAATGGTAAATGTGTTAACTATGTTAAATTACTTGTAAGTCATTGGTTAACACCTTAGTTATTTGTCCGTGTGGGGAAAATAATGCTGTGAATGTCTAATTTACATGTACAATAATTATTTATCACTTTAAAAAATTCTACTGTAAGACAGTGCATAGGAAAACAAGATTTTTTTTTGTAAATGATATCTCCTAGAAAAAAAATGTATAAGAATGAAAAAGCTTCAAAGATACTTCCAAATAAATGATTAGTATTAAATGTTTACTAACCCGCAGGACACGATCCACATGTGAATGATCCTGGAAGGTTAATACAAGGCACTGGTGGGTTCACTGAGCAAGGTGGTCTGTTTGATGTGCATTCATTAACGTCCATCACGCAAGCTGGGTCCGAGCCCGAGTTTGTCCAGCCATCGTCACATATACATGTATATTTTGGCTACAAGGACAACAAATATAGTTTACAGATCTATACCCATTTAGCACCAATTTAATAACCATCTGTAATCAAACATGTGACACAAAATTTTAAATACTTAGAGAGTATCATACTGTTTTAACAAAAAAATGCTGAAAGTATTTGGCAATTTAGTTTAACAGATCATAGTCATTTTTTGGTCTGAACATCTCCCTCAAATAATTATTTAGTTAAAGAGAAAGGTAATTAGTTGTATATTATTAGTTATAAAGATCTTTGATAGGTTATATGGCCCTATATAAAGGTTGTTTGGAAATATAACCAAGACTGCTAAGCTAGGGTTATAATACAGCAAACTTCCCTTTTTAAGAGAAAAAAAAGAAATTTCTTCATAAATTGACAGCAGCCATGTATATTAAACTAAATAAAGTCATGATCATCCAATGGCAAGCAACGTTACAAAATTAACACGCAGTATTATAAAATAAACATATGTATAGGTATCTCAAAGAATTATTGTTTTCATACTGTTTCACTGACCTATCACACTTTACATGGTATGGAACTTAAAAATCATCAAAAAAAGAGTATAAATGACTATGCCTTCCTTATGAAAACCCCATTTGAAGAGAAATATTTTTTTAAAGAATAAATATCACCTGTCCTGGTTGAACTCTTGGTGTGTTGACACAAGTTCCGTGACCACAGAGTTCCGCAGATGACGCCCCTGTACAATCATCATGATTCTCTGTACATCTTACACCATGCCAATTGGTTGTACATTGACATCTGTAAATGTCAGAATATATTTGGTTATAATGCATTTAAGACTTTTATAAACACTATGCCACACTTTGGGACTTTTATCAGCATTTTGTCACAAAATTGAAACTTTTATATGCATTGTGCCACACAACGATACTTAAACAAACATTTGCCACACATTGAGACTTTAATTAGCATCTTGCCACACACTGGGACTTTTATAAGCATTATCCCATACACTGAGACTTTTAAAAGCATATACTGCCAAAAAATGAGACTTTTATAAGCATTTGGCAAGACAATGAAACTTTTATAAGCATTATGCCACACATTGGGACTTTTTTAGCATTTTGCCACAAAATTTGACTCTTATAAGCATTATGACACACATTGAGACTTTTAATAGCATTTTGCCACAAAATGTGACTTTTATAATATTATGCCATACACTGAGACTTTTAAAAGCATATAATGCCAAAAAATGAGACTTTTATAAGCATTTGGCAAGACAATGAAACTTTTATAAGCATTATGCCACACATTGGGACTTTTTTAGCATTTTGCCACAAAATGAGACATTTTATACTCCTTGTGCCACACTCTGAGACTTAACAAACATTTGCCACTCATTGAGACTTTTATATTCATTGTGCCACATACTGAGACTTTACAAACACATTTGCCATACATTTAGACTTGAATAAGCATTTTGCCACAAAATGTGACTTTTATAAGCATAATGCCAAAAAATGAGACTTTTAATAGCATTTTGCCACAAAATGTGACTTTTATAAGCATTATGCCACACATTGAGACTTTTAATAGCATTTTGCCACAAAATGTGACTTTTATACTCCTTGTGCCACACACTGAGACTTAACAAACATTTGCCACTCATTGAGACTTTTATATTCATTGTGCCACATACTGAGACTTTACAAACACATTTGCCATACATTTAGACTTGAATTAGCATTTTGCCACAAAATGTGACTTTTGTAAGCATAATGCCACACACTGAGACTTTTAATAGCATTTTGCCACAAAATGTGACTTTTATAAGCATTATGACACACATTGGGACTTTTATTAGCATTTTTGCCACAAAATGAGACTTTTATTAGCATTTTGTCACACATTGAGACTTTTATTAGCATTTTGCCACAAAATGAGACATTTATAAACATTATGCCACACATTGGGACTTTTATTAGCATTTTGTCACAAATTGAGACATTTTATACTCCTTGTGCCACACTCTGAGACTTAACAAACATTTGCCACACATTGAGACTTTTATTCTCCTTGTGCCATATACTGAGACATTACAAACACATTTGGCACACATTGAGCATTTAATTAGCATTTTGCCACAAAATGTGACTCTTATAAGCATTATGCCACACACTGAGACTTTAAATAGCATTTTGCCACAAAATGTGACTTTTATAAGCATTTTGCCACACATTGAGATTTTTAATAGCAATTTGCCTCAAAAGATGAGACTTTTATAAGAATTTGGCAACACAATGAAACTTTAGTAAGCATTTTCCACACTTTGACTTTAATTAGCAGTCTGCCCACCATTTTAACTTTTAATTAAAACTTTTATTATTATTTGCAACACATTAAGACTTAAATAAGCATTTTGCCACAGATTGAGTTTATATATAATAAGCAATTTTCTACACAATGAGACAGTTATTAACACTTTGCCACACATTGAGACTTTAAAAAGTGTTTTGCCACACATTTGGACTTTTATTAAAATTTGACCACACACTTTGACTAACATTTGACCATACACATGGGACAAGGATAAATATGTATGATCCAATATGAAACAACTCAGCTAATTGTAACAATAGAAGACAATATCACTGCTGTATAGACTAACAATCTACTTACGTAAAGCTTCCAATGGTATTAACACAAGTTGCTCCATTCTGACACCCAAGATCAGTACCAGCATAGATTGAACATTCATTAACATCATCATCACAGTTTGGACCCTGTAAATAAAACAATTTTGTAAAATATACATACTGCATTCAATTATTTCAAAAACTGAATAATTAATTAATCTGTTCATAAAGATGGATTTAGTTTTTAATTGGGTCTAAAAATGCATTAAAGCTGAAAATGTCTTGTATGGCTTTTGGCTGCTAAAGACCTTAGGTATCTCTTTGTGCAATATTTCAGTCACAAACCAGCATTCATAAATGGTAATGACATTCCATAACTTAGCAGGATATCTTAAACATATAAATTCCTTGCTGAATTTGAACCCACAGCAGTAAAAATATAACTTAGTCAACATGGGCTGAGATGAGGAAACAACCAAATAAATAATATTCATATATCTGATAATGGATTTATCCTAAAAAGAAAGTGCCCCATATACCTGCCATGGACCAATCTTACAGAGAAAGTGCCCCATACACTGCCCATGGGCTAATCCTAAAATGAAAGTGCTCCATACATCTGTCCATGGGCCAATCCTACAAAAAAAAATGCCCCACATACCTGCCCATGGGCCAATCCTACGAAGAAAGTGCCCCACATACTTGCCCATGGGCCAATCCTACAAAGAAAGAGCCCCATATACCTGCCCACGAGCCAATCCTCCAAAGAAAGTGCCCCATACACCTGTCCATGGGCCAATCCTACAAAGAAAGTGCCCCATACACCTGTCCATTGGACAATCCTACAAAGAAAGTGCCCTATACACCTGTCCATGGGCTAATCCTAAAAAGAAAGTGCTCCATACATCTGTCCATGGGCCAATCCTATAAAAAAAATGCCCCGTACACTTGCCAATGGGCCAAATTCTTACCAAGAAAATGCCCAATATAACAATGAAATTTAAACTCATTTCAATGCCAGATTTTGATCATGATTGCATTAAACCTTAGTAATGATGATGATCCTCCACCACCTTTCCCACCTCCTTACCTAGTAAAACATGCAAATAAAACACATGTATAATAGGTGATATAAATACCTGGAAAGAGTCTGGACATCTACAGAAGAAGCCATTGTAAGTATCCACACATGTTCCTCCATTTCTACATGGATTGCTGCTACATTCATTGGTGGTCAGTAACTAGAAACAAATAATTATAAAAAAATATAATAATTAATGTTCTGAAAAGATACTATATAAACACACTAATATATAACATAATTGCTGAAGTAATTGGAAAGTTTTACGACATATCCATACATCTTTGCCAAAAATATACAAATTTTGGCTTTCATTTGCAGCAGTTGTGTGGGTTCTTTTTTAAATGGGTTGTCATTAGAATGTAAGTGTTGTTCTTAAAGGTTCTAAGCCTTTGCACCTGCTGAATTTCTTAAATGGACTTGGCCAGCTTCCATTTTTGGAACAGTCCATTATCAATTTAGGGTATATTAAGATGAAAATATAAAGTATGTCAGCCAATAGTATAAAGCCTCGTAAGTCTGTGTGGACATGCAGGTTCAGGCCTGGCTCTATACTGTTGGCAAAGGCTTATCAATTCTGGTTCCTGAGCAAGTTACCAGTATTAATATATACATGTTTATTTAAAAATTAAGACATATTAACTTACCGTTTGCAGATTTTCAACAGTGGTTTCCAATTGGCTGACCTAAAAATAAGAAAAATTTCCAGAGTTAATTCATTCTTTTAGAACTATCTAATCACATCCTTTAGATATTGAACTTAAAAAAATATATAAGCAAAATGTAAGCAAAATGTTTACATAAGCTATTTTTCTACAAAAAATGGTTTTAAAGTCTATTGTATAATTATATCAGAATCAAATATTTTTCTTTTTATTTTTAAGATAAGATTTTCTTTATGTAATCATCTTATCAAATTTACGGAAATTTCTTAAAGTCATGCAAATGCCATCAAAAGTTTAATGCATCTTATTGTTTGATAATTATTATCTTTTCATGCATTCCAACATCAAGCATATAACAAATAATCAGAAAAATTTAATGTTCTTGTCAGCTGCATGCAAATCCATTTTAGCATATAATCTATATGAAATAGACCTACATGTTTATAAATTCTGTTTCCTTAATTAGTGTGCTTTCCAATGACATACTGATTTTGAAACTGTTATAATGAATAATCCTTTCAGCCATTGGTTAATTTTTCAGAGAAGCAATCAGAAGCATGCATTTAAGATAATTACATTTATGAACTACATTTTCAAAAACATGCCTGTATACAAATTAAAACAAGAGGGCCATGATGGCCCTGAGGTCGCTCACCTGTATATAGCCCCCCCACCCCAGGCCAATTTTTACCCAAGGGCTTTTATTTGTTTATTTGAACAGACTTGGTAGACACCCATAAGAAAATGTTTCATGCTAAACATCTAAGTTCTAGCTCATTGGGTTTTTTAAAAGAAGATTTTTAAAGTTTTTACTATACACATATAGTTAAAAACAATGACAACCCTGGGGCAGGGCCAGTTTTGACCCCCGGGCTTTTATTTGAACAAACTTTGTAGATATTTACTTAAAGATGTTTCATGCTTAATATCTTAACTCTAGCTATTTGGGTTTTTTCACAGAAGATTTTTAAGTTTTTGCTATACACATATAAGGAAAATCAATGACACCCGGGGCGGGGCCAGTTTGACCCAAGGGCTTTTATTTAAACATACTTTATGTAGGCACCCATTAGAACATGTTTCATGCTAAATATCTTAGCTCTAGCTCTTTTGGTTCTTTAAAAGAAGATTTTTAAGTTTTTACTATATGCATATAGGGAAAATCAATGACCCCCTGGGGCGGGGCCAATTTTGACCCCAGGGCTTTTATTTGAACAAACTTGGTAGACATTCACTAGAAGATGTTTCATGCCAAATATCTAAGCTCTAGCTCTTACGGTTCTTTAAAAGAAGATTTTTTAAGTTTTTACTATATGCATATAGGGAAAATCAATGACCCCCCGGGGCGGGGCCAATTTTGACCCCAGGGCTTTTATTTGAACAAACTTGGTAGACACTCACTAGAAGATGTTTCATGCCAAATATCTTAGCTGTAGCTTTTTGGGTTCTTTAAAAAAGGACTTTTTAAGTTCTTACTGTATGCATATAGGGAAAATCAATGACCCCCTTGGGTGGGACCAATTTTGACCCCAGGGCTTTTATTTGAACAAACTTGGTAGACATTCACTAGAAGATGTTTCATGCCAAATATCTAAGCTCTAGCTCTTACAGTTCTTTAAAAGAAGATTTTTTAAGTTTTTACTATATGCATATAGGGAAAATCAATGACCCCCCGGGGCGGGGCCAATTTTGACCCCAGGGCTTTTATTTGAACAAACTTGGTAGACACTCACTAGAAGATGTTTCATGCTAAATATCTTAGCTCTAGCTCTTTGGGTTCTTTAAAAGAAGATTTTTTAAGTTTTTACTATATGCATATAGGGAAAATCTATGACCCCCTGGGGCAGGGCCAATTTTGACCTCAGGGCTTTTATTTGAACAAACTTGGTAGACACCCATTAGAAGATGTTTCATGCTAAATATCTTAGCTCTAGCTCTTTGGGTTCTTTAAAAGAAGATTTTTTAAGTTTTTACTATATGCATAATGGGAAAATCTATGACCCCCTGGGGCAGGGCCAATTTTGACCCCAGGGCTTTTATTTGAACAAACTTGGTAGACACTCACTACAAGATGTTTCATGCTAAATATCTTAGCTCTAGCTCTTTGGGTTCTTTAAAAGAAGATTTTTTAAGTTTTTACTATATGCAATATAGGGAAAATCAATGACCCCCTGGGGCGGGGCCAATTTTGACCCCAGGGCTTTAATTTGAACAAACTTGGTAGACACCCATTAGAAGATGTTTCATGCTAAATATCTTAGCTCTAGCTCTTTGGGTTCTTTAAAAAGAGATTTTTTAAGTTTTTACTATATGCATATAGGGAAAATCAATGACCCCCCGGGGCGGGGCCAATTTTGACCCCAAGGCTTTTATTTGAACAAACTTGGTAGACACTCACTAAAAGATGTTTCATGCTAAATATCTTAGCTGTAGCTCTTTGGGTTCTTTAAAAGAAGATTTTTTAAGTTTTTACTATATGCATATAGGGAAAATCTATGACCCCCTGGGGCAGGGCCAATTTTGACCTCAGGGCTTTTATTTGAACAAACTTGGTAGACACCCATTAGAAGATGTTTCATGCTAAATATCTTAGCTCTAGCTCTTTGGGTTCTTTAAAAGAAGATTTTTTAAGTTTTTACTATATGCATATAGGGAAAATCAATGACCCCCCGGGGCGGGGCCAATTTTGACCCCAGGGCTTTTATTTGAACAAACTTGGTAGACACTCACTAGAAGATGTTTCATGCTAAATATCTTAGCTCTAGCTCTTTGGGTTCTTTAAAAGAAGATTTTTTAAGTTTTTACTATATGCATATAGGGAAAATCTATGACCCCCTGGGGCAGGGCCAATTTTGACCTCAGGGCTTTTATTTGAACAAACTTGGTAGACACCCATTAGAATATGTTTCATGCTAAATATCTAAGCTCTAGCTCTTACGGTTCTTTAAAAGAAGATTTTTTAAGTTTTTACTATATGCATATAGGGAAAATCAATGACCCCCTGGGGCAGGGCCAATTTTGACCCCAGGGCTTTTATTTGAACAAACTTGGTAGACACTCACTAGAAGATGTTTCATGCTAAATATCTTAGCTCTAGCTCTTTGGGTTCTTTAAAAGAAGATTTTTTAAGTTTTTACTATATGCATATAGGGAAAATCAATGACCCCCTGGGGCGGGGCCAATTTTGACCCCAGGGCTTTAATTTGAACAAACTTGGTAGACACTCATTAGAAGATGTTTCATGCCAAATATCTAAGCTCTAGCTCTTAGGGTTGTTTAAAAGAAGATATTTAAAGATTTTTCTTTCGGTTGCCATGGCAACCAGAGTTCTGCATGGAATTAAATTCTTTGAACAATTTTTAAAGGTGACCACCAAAGGAACATTCCTGTTTGGATGAAATTGGCTCAGTGGTTTATGAGGAGATGTCATTTAAAGCAAAAGTTTACGGACGGACGACGGACGGACGCCGGACGAAAAGCAATCACAAAAGCTCACCCTGTCACTTTGTGACAGGTGAGCTAAAAACCCAGAACATTCTTATATTTCTTTGTCTTTTACTTGCAATTTCTTTATTTCATCAATATTATCTTGCCTTTCATTCTTTTTTATGTGCAGGCATACATTTTAAGTTAATCATGCACATACTTTTTTGCATGCAAGACTCAAAAATCAGACTTTATCTCTTGAAAATAAAGACAAAAGCAGTTATGACTCATGCAGCAGACGTTAAAATTTTATACTTTTCTTCTGACTCTTCGAAGACGTGAACTACTGGAGCGCAGTCGACGTACCTAGCAACAGAATAAAATATTGTGAACACAAAAACTTAAAATTTAAGCAACTTTGATAACTTTATCTTCAATATAAACCTTTTTTGCCATGTTTGTATTCTTAGCCTTATTTCAGATACCTGACCTTCACACAGTAGGACAGTTGACCTTTGTACCTTGATATATTTTGCACATGACCTTCTACCATCTTTGACCCTTGACCTTTAAAACTTACCCTGAACAACACTTGCTGAAGGCCGTTTCCATTTTCCAGTGACGTTATCTGGCATAAAATGATAGTAATTATACATCTGACATAACATTGAGATACATGAACCATTTTTAAAATTCTAATGTACTTTTATGGACATTTAGAAATCAACTTGAAACACATTAAAGAAAACACAATGAATAATTAACAGTTACTGTTAACAAAAAAGTACCTGTTTGTTCTATTTCTTAACAAGCTTTAATATCATTACTGAATTGTAATAGTCAGTCCATCAAATTAAAATTCCAAACAATTACATTTGGTAAATAAATTTGAGAACATAAAATGTAAACAAATAATTTTTTTTTGATGGTTGGGTCTTGCACCAACACAGAAAAGGGAAGAGGGCTTCTGGCAACTTTCCAGCTTTACTGGTGGAGAAAGACCTTAAGTGCCCTTAGAGCTGTGCATTATTTCAGGAACGAACAGGCACCTGAGTAGAACAACCGACGTTACGTAGGCTAGCCGGATGGCCTCCTCCTATGACACAATCCAATTAAGGTTCCTGGCAGGATTCAAACCTACAGTGGTGAGCGGAAAGAAATTTGAAGTCAATAACCTTAACAATGTGGTGACAGACGCCTAAATCAAATAAACATTCAAACTTCCAAACTTTGTAACAATACCAAATCTGTCAGGTAAATGTTTAAAATATCATTTTCACTACACTACATATATGTTATATAAGTTTTTTAACCATGCCAAATTCTCTACTATCCATCGGGATCAAAATCAAGCCTATCAAAAATATTTTTTGATCTTTTAATAATATTTAAAATCTATTTTTAGAGATAATCATGACAATGTACCTGGTGTCTGGCAGGAATACAGTCGCCGAAGACAACATTTTTTACTTTTTACTCCATATTCTTTACTTTAATATCTCTAGTCTTGTAAATTTCCTCAACAAAGTTGAAAGATACTTAACAAACAAACCAAATAATACCTTGAAAATTTGCACAATTGCTAAATAATTTTAGCAAGATACATTCACTACTAGATGGTAGTCACTTGCAAACAACTGTCGTTCTAGATTATCCAAGAAAAAAATCCTTACAAACATAGCTGCTCAAAGCGGTCACTTGCATGCCATGGGAAGCTGCCATTAAAAGCTGCTTCCAAGGTGCTAGTTTGAAAATTCTCTTTATTTAAGTACATGTATCAATTAATCAAAAGTAAAATTTATGTTCAAGTTTTCGTTATCAAGTTGAGCTTAGTAAGTTAAGTATTTCAAAAGACTGAAATGAACTTCACACATTATACAACATAAAGCTATTCAACAACCAACTTAACAAAACTGTTTAGATTGGGAATGTTTGTTTGAGAATTGCACAAAATACTTATTCAAAATGGAGTCTATGAAATTGGTCATTAAGAAAAACTTTTTTTTTTAGGTTTGATTTCACAATACACAAACACAGTATAGGTCATATAATGACTTTCCAGCTTAAATGGAGGAGGAAGAGCTCAGGTGACCCTTCCGTACATTATTTCAGGCTTAAATGGGCACCTGAATAGAACCACCTATGTTCGATAATTTAGCTGGATAGCTTCCTCACATGAAAAAGCCCAAATTCCCTGTTGGGATTTGAGCCTACAGTGGTCAGCGGCAAGTGGTTTGATGCCAAAGACCGTAACAACTCAATGAGGTCAATAAATACACAATTACCTTTTAACAATAAAATGCAATGAACAATTTTTTTAATTGAACCTTGGAGAACGTTAACTATCATACCCTGGTTTCCACTCTGCTGAGCCTAGATGTTAGATCAGTAATAAGATTGGCAACCTCTCCTGTTGACTGTAGGTTGCTTAGGCCATTCTCAATCTGCGTCAACCTCGTCTCAATATTTGCTGGAAGCTATAAATAGAATCAAAGTATTGCAAATGAAACTGACAAAATTAATGCTGGTCTGTTAAAGGGATACTCGGGCAAATTAATGACAAAAATATAAAAATTATCTCAAATTACGCTAAAATGATATTTGTAAAAGTCCCAGCATGAATTTCTGTAAAAATTCTATTTATTTTGGGTTTGAAGCGTAAATATATCTTCATTGTATATATGTTGAACACAATTTCACTGCCGAGAGTATCACCAAGTAGTTATAAAACTAGTCATGTGACTTGAACAAACCCTGGATTTTAGTTACAATTACAGATATTGTTGATATTGTATGATTAAAACAAACCTAGGTCATTCATTTGACATGTTCTGTAACGTTTCCAGAGGTCACTGTGACAACTAATGTGAAATTTTTATTCTCTAACCTGACCCACTCGGGTCAAATTAGGAAACCACCATTTTATTCTTTATAAGGGGAAATCTTTTGTTCCTAAGACTGCCTAGGGTATTCATTTTAAGGACATTTAGAGATTAATGAATGAAAAATTCAAAACGAAGAAATGAAAATTTTGCCTGTGTCTCCCTTGAAGGGAAATGAAAAGCAATAACCAATTTTTATAAATTTTATGTATTAAAAAGGGGTATAACTCTAAAATTAAGCTGTCAGGCTAATTAATGCCCCTAGTAATGTCATGATAAAAGTGTATTAAAGTTTCATGCTGATACCTAGCATAGTTTTAAAATCATATTCAACCTTTAAGGCAATTTTGACAAAAATCCTTTGCTTGGTTCTACGGCGCACCACACAATTTAGGTCATATGGTGCCAAAACAGGAAAGATGATTCTGGCTATTAAACTTAAAGTAAAACCTAAGATTCATTCTTAGAAAAACAGTATGTAATACTGTCATGCCAGGGAAGGGGTATTTTCAACCCTAGGAACATGAATTACTGAACTTCAGTAGGGACTAGCTCTACGCCATGTTACGTTTCAAACAAGATATCAATGAATTATACTATAATTATGCTATAAGTACTGAGGGATGAGTGGCGGACAGTGTATGATCCCAAAACACACCTAGGGCATGTTCAGCTTTGATGAACAGAAAAGCTTTATAGTTTAGAACATAGGTTACAGTTGTTTACAGATAATTAACATACAAACAACAGATTATTACATACAAACTGATGGACAGAAGAAACAAAAGAAATGAATTGGCAAATCTAACAACATGTTATACATATGTAAGTTAATGCAACATTTTTAATGGGAAGGATATCTCATACTGATTTACCAAGAATGTATTGATATTTATCAAAGGTTGCAAAATAAATATCAAGTTGTTTATTGATACTGACAATTTTCAAAAGAGATGAGTGCTTATATAAACTGATATAGAAGTTGGAAAGCATATTAACATAACATATAAACCAAACAAATAAACAAGTAAGATATTGACATATACGCACAACAGTTGATAACTGTAATTAATACTCCATTTATCATTCTAAACAAGAGTGATCAGTTATCACATCTGCACCTCATGATAGCCAATGGCATTTGTGTAATCAGAAACACAAAAATCATTAACAGGACAAAACACATTTTTATTCAAGGGCCATAACTCAAAAACAAAAATCAATCATCTGGAAATCCTCTGTTATATGCACAAGAACTTGAACTGAACCGGAAAATGCTTATGATATGCACAACTAGACTTAGTACTTATCATTCCTGTAAAGTTTGGATGAAATTGCACCAGCAGTTTTTTAGGAGTAGTCTGGACAAGTTTTTTGATTAACAGGCTGCTACTCTGAGACGACACATAAATATAAAGTAAAAGTGTACAATGTAAAGCCAAATTCTTACTGTTGCTTGAAGTAAATCTATCCGATGACCAAGTGTCAACAGTTGTGTTTGTACTGCTCCTGTCGGCTGCAGGTTATTCAATTGCCCCTCAATATTTGACAGTCTTGTCTCGATGCTGGATGATGCCGTCGGGGCGGTACGAAGCTGGTCTATAGCCAACTTGTTATCCTTCACCTAGGGAGATATAATTAAGTGTGAGTGAGCATCTGAAAGCCTTCCTATTACAGCCACCTGAGTACCGAGCCAGGCCGGCCTGGATATGATTTGACTAGATGACTCTTTATTGTTTTCAGCTTAAGTTAATGAATTCTTTAATCAAAATCCCTCACAATTTTAAATTCAAATCAAGATAAGTCCATTGTAATAATTTAGGTAAGAAAGGTTTGAGGACTGTAATACGTTACCATGAGAATGTTAAAATTCTATATGTTTCATTAGAAACATATAAGTATAATTTATAACATAACATTACATTATATAAGATAACCATGATGTCTCTGAATTCTCTATACTGGTTGGATAGATAACTCCAACACATAGATAACCCTGATACTTGATAAATATTTTTGTTTGAACTATGTTTTTGATTAAGAAACAAGCACACGGTCACCTATAGTAATCAAGAAGTAAGATAAAATGTGATGATGCTATATAAAATGTAAAAATAAATGACTGTTGTTGATTTTCATGCTATATTTGATAGTTGACTTTATCTAATGTTGTGGGGTAAAAAGACAATGTTTTCGATACCTCAATCAGGACCATGAAAAGTACCAGTTTCTATTTCCGTAAATAATTCTTGTAGTGTTATGTTTAGTCTTTAAACGAACTTTGTCTAATGGGTTAATATCTTAAATATAAAAAAAGATAATTAAATAATTGCAAAAAAATATGTGATTTAGTGTCAGATTTATCTCTCCAACCAGTACTCAAGATCACACATTTAGTCTGATGGTGTTCAGGAGAAATGAAAAAAACATAAGAGTATTCAAATTCTGAAGAATACTAGATACGATAAAGGTAATGCAGAATGCAACTTGAATAAAATCTCTGCAGAAAATAAAGCAATACTTGGTAGATATAAAGTTTGTAAAACTCAAGAGTAAAAATAAGGTTCAATTGAAGGGACTTAACCATGTACATTACTTTAAAAAAAGATTCAATGATTACTCTTCTTGAATAAGTTTGTTCATCTCTATCTCATAAAGTTCTATAACACAAGATACTTAACAATAAATTTTTTTAGCGTGAAGATGTTTTTTTGTTTAAAACCAACTTATATGTAAACTTGTTTAAGATGTTCATATACCTAATAGTGAAAAAAGTAATTTTTCTATTCTTTTAATTTGTTTTGACTTTAACCCTAAACCTAGTGAATTCCTTAAATAGACTTGTCTTACCTAAAAATGTCACACAAGGCTGCCATTAATTTTTGATATTAAAGGCCCATTAGGTCCCAGAATTTTTTCTTTTTTTTTTTATTTCTCAATAGTTTTTATTTTTGGCGTCTGTTTATAATTTTCAAAAAAATACTCACTGGCCAATTTTACCTGAACCATCTTTTGTTTCTGTTGAATTTATACAGTAACAGTGATTTGATATTTTGTTTTGACGTCAAAATGCTACTTTGTTTATATTTTGCTGCTTTTATGACAAATAATTTCACTTTCAGCCGGTGATAATATCTAAAAATGTCTAAAACCTTTATTTAAATGTTTTAAAAATCATGTTGGCCCTTTATAAAGAAAGGGAAAAAATCAATTCTGACGCATAATGTGCCTTTAACATTTAACACTAGACTTTGGATTGAAGACTGACAACAAATACCTTAATGTTCCTATTAGTAAAGTTTTCTTCAATATATGTAAACTACTCCAGGGGAGAATACTAATTAGAAACAATATGGTAAATACTCTTCATCCTACAATACTGATTAACAATTTATTTAATTAAGAAATACAAAGGCCTCACAAACATCTTATCTTAATATGGTAATTGTGTACATACATGTATATATATGTAAATACAGACAATGCAAAATAAACAGTATACATAAACATACTTTTGATGCATCTTATAAAGGCTTTACATCTTTACAATTAGACCTTACCATCCTAAATATCTAAAATGGAATGGTCCATCTTTTAATCTGGACAAAACCATTTATAATTTTTAGGGGAAACTTCAAAAGAATTGATTGAATAGCAAATGGTAAAGACTATGATCAGACAGCATGGATGGGCCGGCTGATCTTGGTCTGTACTTGCTGCATGGGTATCGTACATGTATGTTGTAGCTAGCAAGTTATACAGGTTTGATTAATTTAAATGAACCTAGAATGTATATCTGAGTCTGGGGTCCATACCCTCAGTGCCTGAAACCTGATGGACCCTCATTACTGTATTACATATCTGAGTCAAAGGCAAAGATCCTTTATTGCATTGTCTGTTATCAGATGTCTTAATAAAGCATGACTTCAAATGATTATGATAGTGTAATCCCATACACATTTTGATTTGGAGGGTATATCCCCTGCTATGAGAGGCACGTATCATTGAAAGACATGAAAACATAGAAAATCATTAAATTTGTTCTGATGATTTTAAGAAAATGTGCAACTGTAAAAAAAAGACCAACATAAAAAACTTGTCACCTAAAAAGCTCTCAACTATTGCTGTACATACATTTTATATGTCTTTCAGCCGTTCAAAAAGGTTGATACATTGTATATATAAAATGACAGGTGTTTTTCCAAAAACAGGCAAATTTGGGCAATTATGCATAGTTTTAACTTTAAAGTGTTCATTATGTTTCCCCAATCTTTTCCTTCTCAACTTCTACTCTTTACTATATCAATTCTTATTTGTATTATTTCAGTTTTATTTTTTACACCACCAAAATCATATTTTCCCCTTCTTTATACTAGTATGGTTAAAAGACTTCTGTTTCCATTTGTGTAAAATAGATATTACCCAAAATATTTGACAAGATTACTAATAAAGTTTTTCTTTGTTTTTTTGCATTTGTCAAAACTTAGTTTTTTTGTTTTTTTGTTTTTTTTTGTTTTTTGTTTTTTTTAAATAAGCCTTCTTCTTTCTTTGAAAAAATATCTTTTTATTCTTACTTGGCTTGAGTGGCACATAAATTTTAGGTCCCTAGCAGGTTTGGCAAAATGGAAGATAATACATTGTGTACATGTAGATCTATAGAATTCTATCAATATGCAAATCCAAGACTCGGTAGACCTATACCAAACATTTAAAAGATGGGTAAAATGGTCCATTTTAATATGAAATTAGGCAAAGCCTATGAACGGGGAAGTTGGTTAAAAAAATCATTCATTTTTTCTGTTTTAAATGTGTCATTTGGTATTTCATGCAACGCTTCCATTTTCACTCGGAACACTCGACGAATATTATTAATCCGAAAATTTGCATATGTCTGTTATTGGAATACCCTGCCTATTATTATTGAGTTACATTGTAAATGGCGGCGCCAGACTAGAATTGACACTGAAAATTTCATTGACAGGTATAGAATTCTATAATTTTTTAATTGTATTTTATTTGATTTTCTTTTAAATATACACATGTAGTCTATAGCTGGGCAAGCCAAAGCCCGCTTTGCAGTCCCGGCCTTTGACTTCCCCGTATCAACAAGATTATCATGAAAGCTTTTGAAGCTTTTTAAACAACTTTATCTCTGCTCTACTGGTGTCATAACGTGAGGCAACATTGAACAAAGTAGGGCTTAAATCCATGACCTCTGGGCTGGGAGACTGTCTGACTCTTTGAACGCAAGGCCATCCATCAACTTAAAGTCAGTCTTTGGGGATAGCCTAGGTCTTTTATTTTTCTTTTAATACATATGTTTACCATTAAAATGTTCATTTTTCATAAAATATATGGTTGAAAAAATCCAACAGCTTTTTAAATTCATAATTTGGCTGTTGATCCACATAGAACTGGTTTTTTTTCAATTTCAGGATTTATAGAATAAATTAAGACACACAGATTAAACCACAGACGTCTGTGGGTCAGATCCTGTTGGGGGCAGGATCTGACCCCAAAGCGTCTGACTAGATTAAACTTAAAGAAGGTAAAAACTTAACTTACTGTTTGAGTTATCACAGCTAAGTTATCACCATTGACATTTACAAATCCACCATTTGTGGCTCGGAATGTAATATTATGGTTGGTGCCGGTCTGAAACACAAGATGACCATTCTGTGTCAGTATCCGTGGCCTGAAATATAAACAAAAATGCCAGTTACTTCTACATAAAATCTGGGATTCTTCTGTTCCAAATGAAATACACACCGTATTCACTACTGGTCTCTTTTTCAAGTTAAGACAGAAATATTGTTGCAAATTAAACTCCTTAAACAACCAGTCAAATATATAATTATATACAAGCGCTAAATCTTAATCAGAATGTATAGGATCTCTTTTTGCATGTAAGCTTCACAAAATATATACATTTGATTACCTCTAACATCGAAACATTTACCGCGCAATATTAATTTCTGTACAAATCGCGTGTTTATAAAAAGGGGAGGTAATTGCTTACAATACATAACTATCAGGTCCCTTGCAAACTGAGTCAAATGCGAAAATGATTTAAATTTGTAACAATACATATTATCTAACTTCTTACTGTCTGATGCCCTTTTGAAAGTATAGCATGTAGATTATATTGCATTTAAGATAACAAGGCATGTAGATGTATATTAGTCCGTTTTTGTTACATTATAGCAATGTCGAAAATATATGTTGAATAAACACAAAATTGATAGAAACAGAAATAAAATTATTGTTAATGTCGGGGAGGCAACTAGTTTTAGCAGACGCGTTTTTCCAAGATTTACGCCGTTATGTAAGATCAATTCAAATGCTTTCTTTTTTGCAAAATACTACGAAAATTAAATTTCATCAAATAAAAGAATTACAAAATAATTATTACAGAAATTGAAACTGTCGTGAAATAATGACACTACTTTATTTTTGTTCAATCCGGGAGAACAAAATAAAGAAGAAGACATTTTTAAAGAAAATGCTCAAATGCTTTTATAATTGCGACATTTTCGGCGCATAAAAAGTGGACAACTGACAACACTTGTAGGTTGCATTTTATCATAATTTATTCATTGCACTATCACATTCAATAACTAATTATAAACAGCAATATATGGTTTATTAAACAGTGTACATATGTTTTGTTTAAATAATCAAATCTTTCTTTTTCCTTTGAAAGTGAAATATAGCCCGTGACATGAACAACAATATTTCAATCACTTTTGAAAAATTATTTTTCTCCAAATACAAAATCAAGAAAGTTTATCTTTCTTGAAAATTGAATATACTTTATCTTACGCACTAGGATATCTCAGCTACATAATATATTAGAAATGCCCCCTTTACCAGTAATTAAAATCAAAACAATATCCAGAATAATTAACAAATTTTCATTTAAATAAAAAATATACCTCATAACTCAAAATACTTACATATCAGGCTGAATTTGTCTTTTATTCCTGGCATTTTGAAAAGTTTCTTTAAAAAGTATAAATAATAAATAAAACTTGAGCATAGACGAAACGAGGGGGCGGTTCCCCATTTTGAAATTGTTCTGTACTGTCCGATTCTACCTCAACTCCCCTCTTTTTACGTCTCTTCAGTCTACACAATATCTATCTCGTAACGCAGTTATCTTTAGACCAGTTCATTTGTTCCTTCTCGGGTTAGCACGGAAAATCGGTTATAAAACACGCGAATAAAATTATCAAACAACACTGAAAGAGAATAAGAGTTCCCTTTAAGAAACACAAATGAGACATGTAGATTGAGAAGATATTCAAAATTCAAACCATGTCATATGTAAAAGAAATCCCATACAACGTCTTTACCATGAAATCAAATTAATTTTTATCATCCATTCTAATCACCCCTTCTAATTAACGAATAATGGACTTACCCTAATTAATTATGCATTATTTTACAGGACCAGTCGCGGGTAGGAACGGTATGGCTATGTCAAGTGGTGATAAGCGCGTTATATAGTATACCCCGTGCCACTCTAAAGCCTAACAGACATGGGTTATGAAATTAAAATTACGTTATTTTATTGCTCATTGAGTTTATAATAGTGTCTAAACAACCAGATAGCAGTATGGTAATACTTGAAGAAGACTGACATAAATTTGTGGTAATAATCATATAATTAAGGTATCGTTAGAAGAGATAATCATCATTTCAATGTGATTATTCTCTATTCGAAACATTGTCTTAATCTATGTCAAATCTGTTTAAAAGACCATGGTAAAATGAAATAAAGTATCTTAAATTTTAATTCGGCATTTCACACTGTATAAATGTTCCTGAATAACGCACAGAAATGCATGCAAAACTTAGAGCAGAATTGCGCAATTCAATGACCGAAACGGTCACAACGGTAAGAAATGAAACAAATGAACAGATATATTTTATAGGGAATCAAATTGATTTGAAAGAAATGAAGAAGCGCATACGGTTGCTAGGGTATGATATTAAATCGCGTAAAAAATCGAGAAAAATGTTTATTTTTTAAGATCATTGGTGATAAGGACCCGTTTTGAGACTTGCATTTTATGGAGAATATCACCACGGTATTTCGTGTTCTATATAAGTTACTCCCCACCCCCACTTCCGATCAACATCGAAACACACACTAAACATGTATAAGGGATAATGATAAGTATATACATGATATAGTCTCTTATAATTCTATTGTAGAATGGTCATATGTACTTTTTATCAATTTTTAATATGTTTTATGTATATATGTATGCATATGAAAGAGACTGAAATAAACTAATAAACTCTATTGTTTTCATTGTTATTTGTTATATTTTCGCTCAAAATACCACTAAGACAACATATTGTGGTGTTTTTGCTTTAAGTTCATGATTTTAATCAGATTGATATACATGGATAATTAAGCCAATTTTGCCATGATACAATCCTTGTTACGTATAGTGTTGATAAGAGTCATAAAGATACGACTTTTGCGCGTATTGTACACACACATTGTAAGTACGGCTGTTCGCTAAAGACAAAGACTTAAATCACTATCGTAAACTCTAAAACTGGTTATTTCTAACTTGAGTTAATTAATCCCGAATATGAGACAAAACACAATTGCATAAGGCTTTTTAGCAAGTTTTAAGGCCAAGTCACTGGACCAGGATAAAGACTCGAGTCATACAAACTTACAAAACTCATTAAAAATTTAATACGCTAATGCAAAAATTAAGTTGACGAATTCACAAAGCAAGACGCATACATAAAACATGAAGATAAAAACTATCAGTGTGGAAAAAGAAGTTTTTTATGTTTTCTAAAGAGCGAAAGTCGCAATTATGTATGAAATCATTATTGCACATATATAACCCTACTTAATAAAATAATATCTTAATCCAGAACATTTTATTATGTAAATGTACAATCTTCATGTGTCTTGAATAACAGAGACATTCTATATTACAATCGATCCCAAGATTATGGAAACAACAAACGTTTAACCGTATGTTAATTTGAAAATAAAAACAAAAACAATTTATTAAATATAGCGTTATACTCTTCAGCAGAATAATAGTAATTATAAGAATACGCACAGGATAAGGCTTTCGCCTGCATAACTACATATATTTCAATAAACATTAAATCATCATAATCACCAATAACAACAAACACTAACAAAACTAATCTTGATTTTTTGTTGGTTTCACTTGTTTTAGCATTAATATACCTTAATGTTATCTCAAGCTGGTTTACATGGCCCCTATTTTGCATCTTATGACTGAGTTAATTAAACTCTGTGCTACCTAAGTTAAAGGGGCGTCCGTGGCCGAGTGGTTAAGGTCGTTGACTTCAAACCACTTGCCCCTCACCGCTGTGGGTTCGAATCCCGACAGGGACTTTGGATTCTTTCATGTGAGGAAGCTATCCAGCAAGCTTACGGAACGTCGGTGGTTCTACTCAGGTGCCCGTTCGTGCCTGAAATAATGCACGGAAGGGCACCTGAGGTCTTCCTCCACCAGTAAAGCTGGAACGTCGCGATATGACCTATACTGTGTCGATGTGACGTAAAACCAAAAAACAAACAAAAAACAAACAAAACCTAAGTTAAACCATTTATTTAGGGAACTTATCCAACTTTTTTGGACAATCTTATCAATAGTATGCTTTTTGCAGTTTCTATACATCTACGGACATTGCTACTAAAATCAAGGTCGGGTGTAAAGGGAACGCTCCTAACTTTCCAGTGACATCTTGGATGCAAAGCTTTGTATGTCTAGATGTATGTATAGAAGAAAAAAGCCTTACCCGCTCGGGACTATGCTGATCATTTAGAACAGCCACGTCTGTGTCCCCTTATTTTCATAAAAAGAGAAGGCTCTAAGCTACCCAACACAGTGAATTTCAGAACAGGCACGGATCTCATGTAACATTGCTGCTATGGAGCTACAATCAAGCAATTTATATTGTTTAAGTTTGAGTCTTCCTTACAATTTCTTTACAACAAAATGGTTCCACGAGCTACTAGCAATGCACGGGAGTACATATGTGGACAGGTAGTCTGGAAGTTGCAAAGGTGAATGTTTTCTTACCTTATCACGTATAGATGCTTTATTGTTAAGTAAAGTGGGGGCTCTCACGCAAAGGGCTTTTTTCCTTCACGAAATCGGTCCTTAAATGAGGTAACAATAACACCGTGTATATCCAGTAACGCAGGAATGTGCAAATAACGCTGGAATTGTGAAAAAAATAACGCAGAATTGCGCAATTTAGTGGCTAAAACGAGCACCGCGATAAGAAAATGAACCAATATTTTTATTGTACACCAAAATGGAAGAAATGAGTTAGCGCATACGGGTGCTGAGTCATTATGCTTTAAACCTCATCAAAAATATTTCCATGAAATCAAGATCATTCGTGAAAATGACGACCTGACTAGCGTATTGATGGCAATTTTTAATCTCGTTGATATCTTTAAATACAATAACGTACATATTGCTCTATGATCATTTATTTTCGGTGTACCGGAGACATTTTCCAATGTATTCGTTTCATATAATACGTTATTTAGCAGATAAAACGTAATTGAGACCATTTTACGAGGTAACGCCGAATTCGTGAAAGAAGCACTGAAGCAACGAAGGTTATCTCATTAAAAGTCGCTTAATCCTATTTTACCAGCTTCCTTCATTTGTTGTACGCAACTTTTAGTTTGACAAATGTCTTAAGTATACAGCATATGAAAAAAATAAAGTTTTAAATGTTTTTAATGTACATATTTATTTGAAGAAACACAAAAATCACATTCAAGACAGTAATCAGGTTGTCTTTCTCACGAATGATCTTAAAAAGTAAACATATTACTAACAAAAATTGTAATGCTGGTTAAAGTATATTAAATGACAGAATATTCAATATCCTAAGTCTCTCCTGGTTTACTGAAAAGATTGTCCTAATTTTAGAAATTGGGCACTGACTTGCACTGTCTTTGCAATGCTAAAATGTGTAAGATGATTTGTTGTTGCAAGTCTAGCGGATATACGTTTTTAACAGTTAAGGACTGTAATCTGTAATTAATAGATAAGAATTTTTGACCTTTGAAGTAAAGTTTTTAAGTTTAAGTTTTTTATTCTTTTTTTTTCTTTTTTTAACCTTTTTACTTTTAAAAAAACTGTATAATTATAACTACTGACTAAGCATTTTTTTAAAACACTATCTAATATGTAAAATCTGGAGAGAGAAAAAAACACGTATGAAAGCATTTAATTGATTTTCAACTTGTTTGAAACTGTAACGTGAAACGATGTTTTTTCATGTATTGTTTTAGCTTTAAATTGTTATATCCTCATACTTTGAAAGGCACTTTATGCCTCAGAAATGAATAAATTTTTACTACTTTGGAAAGGGCAAGTATGAGTTTTATAACATTTAGAGTAAATTTATACCTGAAGAAAGTAGCGCTAAATGGGAAATTATGGGCTTTTAATATTTAAGTTTATTTCAATATTCCATTTAATATACACGTAGAAGAGAGTTTCACAGTATTCATTTTGATATCATGTATTTTTTATGTTGAATAGTAACTTTCCGGCCTATTTACGCTCACCTGCGATTAAGTAATTGTGGGTTATCAGGGATGTATGATGAGAAGCTTTCATTACTGTTAAACTTTAGTGTTTTGTATTATCAAAGTTACTTGTTTATAAGTTAAATTCTTTTCCCAGGGAAAGAGCATCGTGGACAAATTTAAATTTACTGTACATTAAGAAACCTCACTGATTTCCCCTAATTCGCAGTATGACCAAAGGGTCACCGGTCTAAATGACTTGGTGCTGAGAACTATATGAAGTTTTGAACATGTACCGCAGAAAATCAGTTATTTGAAATGGTCAGCGGTTTTGTTTCCTGAAATGTGGTAGATGAAAGAAGAATAAGATCTTTTACCCCTTTTTTGCAAAATTCATTGATAAACTATTTAATTGATCGATTATATAATGATATTTATCTTGACTTTATACAAATTTTCAATATTAATATTTACATGTGTGTAAAATAAGTAAAAAAACAACAACATAATATTAATCAATATGTGTATTTATTTTCTATCTATGATATTCATACTGTAACTATAGATATTCTGTGATAATTTACATTGTAAATATTTTGCTTGTTTGATGTTAATTATATCATTGTAAAAATTGTGCTCTTTTTTGGAGGAAATAAAGATATTATTATTA